GGGGGCGGGGCTGGACTCGATGATCCTCCAAGGTCCCTTCCAGCCCTAATGTCTATGAAATCTACGAAATCATGCCTGACCAATGCTTGTCCAGCCTCTTCTTAAACACCTCCAATGATGGAAATCCCATACCTTCCCTGAGTATCTATCCCATTGCCTCCCTGCTCTGGCAGTGAAGTGTTTCCTGAGAACCAATCTAAATCTTCTTTGCTGCAACTTCAAGCCATTGGTCTGCATCCTTTTCCGCAGCAGGAAAGAAAAGGTGCTTTACCTCTTTACAGCAGCCTGTCAAGTATTTGCAGCCTGCTGTCATGTCCACTCTTAAGCACCTTTTCCACAAGCTGAATGTGCCCAGCTCCTTCAGCTTCTCCTTGCCTGACTCACCTTCCAAGCCCTTGATTATCTTTGTCGCTGCCTCTGGACCCTAACTTCTCCACATCCTTTTTAAAGTGTGGAGCCCAAAATGGCACAGTATCCAGATGAGGCCTTAGCAGTGCCAAACAGTGAGGCACCATCACCTCCCGTGTCTCACACCTCATGCTCCTATTTATGCAGCCCAAAACCACATTGGCCTTTTGTACAGTTGCATCACACTGCACAGTCAGTGGTCTACCAAGACTCCCAGTCCTTCTCCACAGTGCTGCCAGGTGCCCCCCATTTTGTACTTGCATTTTTGATTATTCTTCCCAAGGGGTAGCACCTGTATTTGTCTGCATTGAACACCACCCTGTTTGCTCTAGCCTGGCTTTCCAATCTGTCAGGATCCTTCTGAACTATGCTCAGCAGCAGATCCACAGAGTCTACGCCAGGAAGCAGAGCTCAGTGCACTGCCCAGCACTGGACCACAGCAGGGACCGCAAGGCAAGGGGAATCGCCAGGGCTGCATTCTGGCCAGGTCCCAAAATGCACCCCACGGCCCACCCAGGTTGACACGGGCTATAACCTCAGCTGCCATTCAGAACATGAGAGCTCCCGCTCCACTATCTGCCTCCAGCCAACAGAGCTCACTGGTCAGCCTCATCCCCCACACACTCCAGAGCACAGGGGGCTTCTGGCAGGCACCAGCCACATCTTGCTCCACTTAGTGTGTGGCACTGGGAGAGACCACAGCCCAACACTGCACAATGACAAGTGACACAGCATGAGGACAGAAGGGGTTTGCACCAAATCGGGGGGGGGGGGTCTTGCTGCAGGTTTATGGACAGGTGCTGTTCTCCACCCATGGGCACAAATGAACATGTGAGCAGACACAGACACGCCCCACCTCACCTCACCTTATTGAAGCGGGCGAAGGGGTAGTCCTTGCCCTCCTCTGCTGCCCTCCGCCAGTGGTAGAACATGGCTCCATCCTTCCTGGCTGGGTTGGTGAAGGGCATCCACTTCCAGGGCCGCACTTTCTTGGAGCCCAGCTTGGCCTTGACGGTGCGGTAGCCCTGGGTCGTGTCACTGGGCAGCAGTGGGGGCGCATCCCTGCAGAGGAGGGGTGGGGAAGGTTCAGGCCAACAGAAACAGCAGTCTGCACTGAGCTTGGCTGGAGAGATGCTACACTCCCAGCTGGGCAGCACGTGCAGGGCATCAGGTCACACCTTGCCCTGGATCTGCAACATCACACTCAGCTCTGGGGGGGGGCTTTAGGCCACACAACAGCCCCAGCCCTGAACTGGCCCAGAGCCAGCACTGACAGGCTCCAGGGGCCTGACCCCAAGGCAGAGAGGAGGGCCAACCCAAGCAGATCTATCCTGAATCAATGCAAAGTCCTACAAACATTCAAGGAGATGAGTGAATGGCTCAGCCATGTCTGACAAAAAGGGGCTGCCTGGGGAGAGGACAGTGAAACAGACCCCAGAGCACACTGCATGACACATTTGTGCGAGTGAAGGCAGATGTTAAACCTGCCCACAACCCCAGTGGCATGAACATGGGAGGACAGGAAGGCTGCAGCCTGGGCAGCAGAAGCTGGTGCCAGGTCCCCCACCACACCCCCCTGCAGGTGCCCTCAGAGTCCTCACTTCTTGTCAGAGTAGAGAAGTGCATAGACCTCCCGGTGCATGCCCTCCGGCCGCTTGAACGTCAGTGTCTCCGAGGACTTCTTGGACTTTTTCTGAAACAGAAGGTCCCAGTCAGACCAGCCAGGAGGGACCAGTGTGTGCTTGTGGCTTTGATTTCTGTGCTGATCCCGCCCCCAGAAAAGCTTTCTTGCCACAAGCAGCCAGCTACCCCTAGTGAGCAAAGCCACTTGTTTGGCTAAGACCTGTGTTCCACAGCAGCAGCTGGTCTGAACCAGGAGACGCCAAGAGCTCAAAAAGCCACACCTTGGCTGGGTACTTCAGACCCTGTCACTGCTGGAAACAGCCTGGCTTCAGCTTCCAGCCACTGCTCTGCTGCCCCCCTCCAGGAGAACTGCACAGTCCTCCCTCCCCAGGAAGGTACTTACAGGCTACAGTCAAGTCACGGCTCATTTGCTTTCTGCCACGCTGAGCAGAGAGGGGTCCTGAAGTCTCTCGCTGTCAGAAATGTCCTCCTGCCCTTAAGCAATTCTTGCGACTCCCCCTGTATCATGGATGTCCTGCTCCCTTGCCCTTTCTCCAACACTCAACCAAATGCAGACACCAGAACTGGGCATAGGGCTCCCGGGCTGGTTCTGCCAATGCCCACCCTCTCCCCTAGTCACCATGACTCACCCCCAAGTTTTTACATCCAAGAACCCCATTAGCCCTTTCACATGGAGTCATTTGTGCACCCTGGCACCTACGTCCTTCCCAAGTCACGCTGTCCCAGTCTGAAGGTCCGGCCTGCAGAGGCCCTGCCTTGCACGTGGTTGCAGCTTCTGGATCGCTGTACAACCACCTCACCTCCCACAACGATTTATTGTACCATCCATCTATCACCTGTGAACATCAGCAGCAGTGATGCAAATGATGACCTATGTCTGGTGTCTCACCAAACCCTCTGGAGACCGACACACACCACCCCTCGATGAGGATGCCCTTTGACAACTACTTGGCAACCTGTCAGTTTGCTAGCTCTTACTCCCTGCAACAGGTGCTCCATCAGTAACACATGGCTAACTGCTTTTAGAGCAGCAGGCCTTCCAGGAGGAAGTGCAGTGCTGTCTACAAGTCTCCCTACAGTCTGCTGACACAATTACTTTGCATCATGCAACCTCATAGAGGTATCTCAGCTCCACACTTTCATTCTTTATCAACTGGCTCCTGCATCAGCTTGTCCATTGTTTTGCTAGGGACTGACATCAAGATAAGTGACCTGTCATCATGACCCAGGTCATTCAGCTTGCTCTTTGAGTGACGGCATGTTAGCATGCTTCCACACCTCCAGGAATTCCCTCCGTTGATACCAAGAAGCCAGGGACCTGCTCAGCCAGGAATGGGAGTGCCAATTACAGCATTTTGCAAAGCAAATGGGTATTTAATAGATGCTGTTTAACACCCTCCTTTGTCAAAGAATTTCTCCATTCCCATGCGAGAAGTACATCAAGAACTAAATGGAAAGAGTTACTGGACACTCCTGCCTTACTCACATTTTTACCCGCTCCACTATCAATGGGCCCTGCACACCAGTGCTAGGAACCCTTTGTTCCTAGTACACCAGTGAAACTCCTACACAGTTTTCTTAACTGTCACACCTGGATTTTCCCTGATGTCTTTAGCTTCCCTCATCTATTTCTTCCCCTTCCTAACTTTTCGTTCATATAATCTTTTATCTATCTCCCCTCTGTTATATGTTAGTTTTTTATTTCTAATTGCTGTCTTCACTGCCCCACTGAACCAGGACAGACTTTCAATCAAAGCTGCTCTCTTCTGATTGCAGAACTGTGCCTTTTCAGCTCTCAAATGAGCTCTTTGTAAAGAGCTCCCAATTTCCATTCATGCTTCTCTGTCCACATTTTTCCTCCCAGTGACTTCTGCCCACCGTTGCCCTCAGCTTTAGGAAGTCAGCTCTTTCAAAGCACCCAGCACGCTTGTGGATAAATGTCCATTGTTGGTTGGGATTATCCCATTTGCCTGTGTTGAATATGGCTATGCTGTGATCTAAGGTCCCTGTGCAACCATCAACTCCAAGCCAGCAATGAATCAGTTTTAACCCTTACAGCACTGTCCACAGCACAGCCACCCTGTGCGGGTGCTGCAGCTCACATGGTAGAAAACTACCTTTTCTGCCCCTCAGAAACTCTTATGACACCCTGCATGTGGTTGCAAGAGACCTCCAGCATGCGTCACCACAACCCAAATCAGCCACCCCCAGGTTCCAAGAGGTAGCTCATGCTGCTCTCCACTTAGATGCTGTTGTCTAAAACAGGCTCCAGGCCCACAGTCCTCTGCAAATTAGTATAGCCCTGGTGTTAAGTAACGGTCCCGGGATTCTGACTTCGCAAATACTCAGTAACAGGACACAGTGTCTGTTACCATTGGGTCCAGGGCCCTGCACTTGTAGGCAACTTCTGATGCAAGGAATCCCCATTTGAATTCGCACCCACAACTATAGGGCACAACACTGAGAACACCTAACAACACACTGCAGGTAACAGCAGGGGAGACAAGGGCTGTCAATGACCTGAAAAAGCAGGGAAGAAGTGAGTAAACGTGTGCTTTGAGGTGTCCAGAGGACATCCCCACACTAAAGGAAAAAATTCTTCTGCCTTCGCCAAGCTGGCCTAGGGGAAAATTCCTTCCTGATCCCAAACGTGGCAGGCACTCAAGCTGACCTTCAACGCAAGAGCCAGAACCCCCAACCAGGAACCTCCGGGTTTTTTAAGTACTGACAGGACTCATGTCAAACCCTGCTCATTGCTAGCTGCGGCCAACATCCCAGCCCCCCAGAAGCTGGCAGCCTTCACAAGGGGAAAAAAATTCCCTCTAGTCCTAACTGGTGACCAGCAAAAGCCCTGAACCCAGGGATCAAATACCTTCCACACCACAGGAACCTTCTTACACCTGCAACCTGAGGACCACAAGCCTCCACATCTACACGTCACGCCGCTCCTTCCATAAACTGATTCAGTTCAGCCATAATGGAATTCCAGTTCCTTGCCTCCAGCCTGGAGGTTGGACGTTGAGAAATCCTTTTCTCATTTCCAATCTAAATGTATGCCTGGGCAGCATGCAACCATCTGATCTTGGGCTTCTGCTGCTTTTCAGGCTAAACAAATTCTTTTTCTTCCTAACAGGTAGAAAACTGAGGCAGGGGCCAGGTCAGGTCTCACAAGGCCTCCACAGTAAATATTTTGCCACTACCCTAATGAAATACATCGATAGGACAGCACAAATCTTTTCAAAGCTTAAATGGACTCCCAAAGGCTGCTGTGCCCAGCAGTAGCACAACTCTGCTCCCCTCCCAGAGCTCCCCCATTTCCCCCAAACCCAGCTCCCATTCAGATACAGTTACACCATTTCCTCGGCTAAACACGGGCCTGCTAGCGTGTGGACGGTGGAGGAAGCAAGGACTCCATGTGAAGGAAGCTTGCACAGGGCCCCAGGCATTCAGAAGAAATGCACCCCATAGACAAGCTGCAGGAGACGCATCTCAGTAATTATTTTGCTTGCTCATTCATCTGCTACTGGAAAGAACAGTTAGCAACTCGACCAAGGACTCCAGCCCTGGCCCCTGCTTCGTACCTTGTCCGAGTTGATGATATCCTTCTTGTTGATGGTGCCCGTGTTCTCCGACTCCACGCCCCCCAGCTCCAGGATATCCCGCACATCTGCACCTGTTGCCATCTCTCCCTCTGGAGGCAGAAGAGGAACAGCTGATAAATCCAAGAGCGCCAAGGCTGGGCTCCCCTAAAAACCGCTCTCAGCAAAACCAGCCCCATCCTCAGCTAGCTCTCCCCTCACCCTCGCCTCCCCACAAGTAGCGCCCCTGTTCAGCATTAGCTTTCTTCCACATGCAATTAAACACTGGTGTTTCTTCAGCTGCAGAAAACAGCAGGAAACACAGCGAGAGGTGCCGGCAGGTGCAACTCAGCAATGCTAGTAGAGAAAAGGAGGCAGCATTTCTCCCAGGAAAGGGACATCCAAGCTACTGAGCTGCATCAGACCAGGGACACATCCCATCTCTGCAAGTGCCCGCCATCAGGGATTTCCGAGCACTGCTGTCAATTGCCAAAAGGTACTGACAGGGTTATGGGTCAAGTCAAAACCTACTGCTGATCTGAAACAGCAACACTGGCTTTCCCGGGGGGGGGGGGGGA